CTGGCCCCAACACTGATCCTTGGGGAGCACCGCTAGTGACCGGCTGCCAAGTAGATTTCCCTGTTTTCCACCACTCTTCGGGCCTGGCCATCCAGCCAGTTCTTTACCCAGCAGAGAGTATGCAGGCAGTTTCTCCAGGAGAAACGGTGTCAAAGGCTTCACTAAAGTCCAGGTACACCACATCCACAGCCTAACCCTCATCCACTAAGCAGGTCACCTTGTCATAGAAGGAGATCAGGTTAGTCAAGCAGGACCTGCCTTTCATAAACATGTGCTGACTGGGCCTGATGCCCTGGTTGGCCTGTACCTGCCTCAAGATGGCACTCATTTTAACCAAAAATAAAGAGTGGCCTAGCAGCAGTTGTTGAAAGCATATTAGTGACAGAAGAGCAAACCACATGAGAGAGAACTTGTAACTGAAATTAATAAAAAACCCCACAACACTAAAGCACAAGGGAAGCTCTGACTGACAATCAGCTGGGAAAACTGAAATACATACTTCACCCTTTTGAACTATGTTCAGGCAGCATCCAGGGGGACAGAGGGACAGACACCGTCACAGATCTCAAGTGGCTGCATGTACACAACCTCACTCTAGCACACAGTTGGGATTTGAAGAAAAGAATTATCAAAAGAGGGAGCTCAGGGCTTCAAAATTCTGTTTAAAATTATGAATAAAAATAATTCATCACAGTTACATAAGCTCCTGAATAGCAAATATCAGCAGAAAAGCATGTCATGGCATTTTGTGGTTTGACAAGTTTCCAACAAAAACTGAAAGGGAGGAAAAGCACCACAATCCTGCCTGTTTTCTATATGCAAGCTTGAAAATAGCATAATAGTTTGGGCATTACACTTTGGGAACGCTACTTTTCACTTGTGTCCCTGAGCCATTTCTGAGAATTACCAAAGATTGTTCACAGTATGTGTACCCATTTCAAATGCAAGCTCCTTAGAAAGCTACATTCAGTATCAGTAGTTGAGATGTGGATGTCAAGCAATCAACAGGAGTTTTCTCTGACTGTCTTGGAAATGATCTATACTGTAACAAAGACAGACATGATTGACAGAGTGTTTCCAAACCAAAAAATTAGCATTTCCACAGTGAATCTGCTCAGCCACCAGTGACTGCTAAGTGCAGTTTGAAGTTAATCATCTATTGTCTCTGTAAAATTCATTACTATTCCTAAATATGTTGTTAGAAAAAGGTTTGTGAACTTCAAAGCTACAAAGAAATCACAGTGTATGGCACTTTAAAAAGACAGCACACAGACCTTATGAAGTATTTCATTTTTTGCCCTTTCTGTACTTGAGTATTCTTTTCCTTATTGGATCTTATTTTGTACCACAAATATTTTTACGCTTTGCTAAAAGCACATTACTGATTTTATATAAGAAGGTCAAGATCAGTAGCAGACTTCCAGGCTTAGGTTTGTAAAATCAGTTTTACCATTCTGACATTATTTAAAATAAAGTGGACACATATTTGCAGGAAGTAGAATTCACAATTAAGATTAATTCTATTTTGCATTAACATGACCAATAAAACCTGCTCAGCAGACACACAGGCTAATAAATGAAGAAAGTACGTGCATTAAAGGTAGGTACATTAAAAATTGCTGCCATCATAAGCAACCACTCCAGGTCAAACATTCTCTCTGAATAATGTTAAATATAAAAACTACTTTAACTGCTAAGTACTTACCACCAACAGCAATTTTTATTTGCAGATAAAAAGCATTCTTCTCTATAAAGTTAAAAACAAAAGTTTTGTTCAGGTAGTATTTTAAAATCTTTTTATTACATGAATGATGGACTTTTATATCGGGGAAAATAATCAAAAGCATTATTTAAAAAAAAGTTAAAAGTTCCTAGAAAAATCTAGAATTATAAATGATCATAATGTAAAAAGAGTTAAATATGACTAACAACAAAACAAATCTTAATTTTAAAGCCTTATGTTAACTACCAGCATGAGCAAAGGACACTTTCTCTCCTTTTGTCTTCATTCATCTGCTTCCCTATCCAGAAGTCTTGAAAGATTCATTCTTGTTTTTTCAAGTGCCACTGTTTTTGCTCGTCTTGAAGGCCTTGAACTTGACATTGGGACCGATTCTGGTATTTCATCACCACTGAAATGTAAAATATTTTAAAGTAAGACCAAGAAGACTAAGCAAACTGAAGAGTTTTTATATTAACAAACTTGAAACATGGTCTTAAAAAGCAAAAGTACTTCTTGCCAATTATAAACTTTTTATTTTTTTGAGAAGAATGTTTTAATGTTTTCCAAGTGATACAGCAGCATCAGTTAAGATAACCAAGTGTTAGCAGTTGCAAAATAAGCAAAACCCCTAAAAGATAGGTGGTATTTCAAAGCAAACACACCAAACAGGCAAACAGGAGTGACTGACCCTGGTCACCCTCAAGTCCGTGGATTACCTGCTTGAGAAAGCGTGAGCACAGCTGAAAATTACAAAGATAATGTTGTTTTAATGCTTATATCCTACAAGATCATAAGGGGAAAATGCACTGTGTATACTCACTTATCAGTCATTTCTAGAAGCTTAGCAACTACGTGTTGAAAACCAAATAACAAAAATGTGGAGGGGAAAAAAGAATTTAAATAAAAAAAATTAAAAACTGATTCCTCCACAGATTAGTTATTAAAAAAGCAGAAAAAGTGATTGGAAGAAGAGTAATAATGTAAGCCAAAAATCTAACTTTTGTTGGCTAGAACATATATTAACTCTACAGACAAAAAGGTATGTTAAAAAAAAAAAATTACAAGCTCTTAGATAATGATAATAAAATGTGAAGCTGTCAAAACTGCTATTGTTTCAAAAGTACCAGTTCAAAGAATTTTTTTTTTTTTGTAAACATTTATCTGTGCATTAGGAATGGAAGATATTAAAGATGAAGGTTTTGGGAAAGAAAAACATTTGAATTAAATTTCCTTGCTAGAATAGACAGGATTTTGATGGTGGAGAGAAAAGGATTTACCTTTCACTACTGCATTTTACAGTTGTGCCAGTTTTTCTTCTGCTCACAGACCTCACTTCTGCTGCTGCTTTTCGTTGCCCTGAATATAAGCAAAAGTCTCTTTTCATACCATAATACCATTTTTTTTTCTTAAACTAGTTTTGTATCTTTCTTCAGTATTTGATACTGCATTGAAACATACAAATATGCATTCACCACAGACAGAATGTGGTGTAAAAACAAAACTAACAAGAAAAAACCCACAATGTACCACTTCTCCCACAAGCAAACACCTCTACATTACTGTAAATGACTGTGGCCAAATTATCTTGAAATCCTATAGACAGATTATTTTTTTTTCCTCTTTTAAATCTGTGTCATTGGGAGAGGCTGATAGCACAAAAATTCCCACAAAAGAGACTATTTCAATCTTAACAAATACAATTTTAAAAACCACAACAAAATATGAAGACTGAATGGTTTTTATAAGTTCACAAAAAAGTTAGTATGAAATTATTTTATTGAAAACAACCAGTAGTGTAGTCAGAAAAAATTAATGCATACCTTTGCCAGGTTTGTTTCTTGTGGATTTCAATTTTCCAGTTGCTTTACTTTTACCTTCATTATCTGGAGTATGAAGAGCACCTTTATTATTTTCTGTTAAACAGAATAGCACACACAGAAGTCATAGATAATCAACTTTTAATTTATCTTAACTACCAGTATTTTAAATTGTCTGTTATATAAAAAAGCCACACAATTTTAACCTCACTTTTTCCTTAAACTAGAAATTAGATAATAAAGCTAGAAGGAAGCTTAAGATGTCACTCAGCTATAACTCTGCCCTAACATGTCAATCACATGTAAACTATTCCTGACAATTGACTGGCCCTTTCCATTGCATCATGAGTCAAGCAAGCGGGATGGAAGACCAGCTGGGCTGGACAGGGAACTAACTCCTCATGCAGCTCAAGAGGAAAAGGAAGTTGCACTATCTCTGGCAGCAAGGTCAGGCTTCGCAGGAAGATTACAGAGCTGTGGTTCATATATGCACAGAGAAGATAGGAAAGGCCAAATCTCAACTAGAGTTGGAACTGGCCAGTGTTGTGCCAGGTAACAAGAAGGGCTTTTTAAAATATGTTAAAAGCAAGAGGACATCTAAAGAAAACATTGGACCAATACTTGTTGAAGATGGTCACCCAGCTAATAGGAATGAAGAAAAAGCAGAGGCATTCACTGCTTTTTTTGCCTCAGTCTTCAATAGTCGTGTACCCAGGACTACAAGTTTGGGAAGTGACTTTCCATTTGAGGACACTGAAAATATAAGGGACCAGTTTTATCAGCTGAATGTCCATGAGCTGAACATGAACCAGCAGTGTGCCCAGGTGGCCAAGAAGGCCAATGACATCCTGGCCTGTATCAGAAACAGCATGGCCAGCAGGACCAGGGACGCCATCCTTCCACTGTGCTCAGCACTGGTGAGGCTGCACCTCGAGCACTGTGTTCAGTTTTGGGCCCCTCACTACAAGAAGGACATGGAGGTGCTGAAGAGTGTCCACAGAAGGGCAACGAAGCTGGTGAAGGGTCTGAACCACAAGCCTCAGGAGGAGCGGCTGAGGGAACTGGGGTTGTTTAGTCTGGAGAAGAGGAGGCTGAAGGGAGACCTTGTTGCTCTCTACAGCTTCCTGAGGAGGGGAAGTGTAGAGGGAGGTGCTGATCTCTTCTTCCTGGGATCCAGAAACAGGATGCATGGGAATGGTTCAAAGCTGTGCCAGGGGAGGCTCAGACTGGACATGAGGAAGCATTTCTTTACTGAGAGGGGAGTCAAACACAGGAACAGGCTTCCTAGAGAGGTGGTCGATGCCGCAAGCCTGTCAGTGTTTAAGAGATGTTTGGACAATGCCCTTAATAATGTGCTCAGCCCTGAAGTGGTCAGGCAGTTGGTCTAGATGATTGTTGTAGATCTTTTCCAACTGGAATATTCTATTCTAGTCTTAAAATCTCTATCAGTTTTAGAAAATCTTGCTTCAGCAATATCTGTTATTGCTAGGGAGCTTTTTTCTTAACATTAAAGCTAAGTCTCCTTTGCAGCAATCTCCTGTTGTGCTTTTTGCTCACAGCTATCATTTAGAATTTTACAAATTTACAAATTTGAAGTAGTAAATGTTGCGTTATTTTTAATGATCCCAAATGTATCTGGGGAGGGGTTGGAGAGGGGAAGGGATCAATGCTTTTCCCCCACAGCCTCCTTTTAAAAAGTGCTGAAAAATCCTTCCATGAGAAATTCATACCAAGAAGTATTATCAGATCTTAGTAGAAAATAGTACAGTTATTTTCGCAAGAGCATACTTCCAGCTCCCCATCCAATAAATATTTGAAGATATAAACATAGAAGATATAAGAAATTAAAGTATTTGACACTTCCAGAAACAACAGATTAAATCCCTGAAATAATCCACTAGAAAATATAAACAAATAATTTAAAAGAATTTTAAAAGAAAACATACTCTGCTTAAAACGGCTGCAGGTCAATAGCTTTGCTTTACTGCTGCAAAGCAAACCTAAACAAGTTTCATCCAACTGCTTTGCTGCTGAAAAACATTAGAATTCCTGTGCCACCAGCACAAGGTATGCTGCTGAGGCACATGCAGCTCTATAAGCTGTGCAGGCAGTGGGAAGTCTTCCAGCTATTTCCACTTCAAGCTCTTAAACAGTAATAAATACAAATCTGGCTCCAATATATGAGCTCGTAACAAGGACAGACTGGTGGCAACACTAAAGATATCTGTACACTGCTGTAGTACAGCCTGCAAGAAGCACAGGCATGGTGACTTCAAAGTCTAAAAACCACCCACAAAGTACCTGTTTCCTCCTCTGATTTAGCAAAGTTAGTTAGTCAGCACTAGTATTTAGCAGGCACATGAGTGTGCAGAGCAGAGCTTAAGATTCGAAATACAGCACTGGTTATACTACAGTAATATGGAGAATAAGAAAACACAGGATATGCTCAAAAAGCAATAAAAAATGGAAAATACGTCAGTGCAAATATTTTAACCTGTATGCATATTTACTAGATGTTAACTTTTCCCATTTTTTCAAAAAGTAGATTAATTTAATGGAGGAAAACTAAAACTTATTTTCATACACATCTAAACAAGTCACCCAGTTGTGCACCTGCTACTAAACCACACCTCTCCTGAATTACCTTCTTCATTTTGAACAGTATCTTCAGCTAATGTGATGTCAGCTTCTTGGGTCCTTTCAGAGAGGCCTGTTTCCTCAGTCCTTTCAGAGTGGTCTTTGCCCACATTAGGATCTTTGGTCAAGTTCATCTTTATCTTCTCAATAGCTCTTTGACACAGTTTATCTTTCACTTTCTGGAGAAGAAAAAATTAATGTCAAGTTCTACTTAATTTTACAACTATTTATTTTATCAAATTTCCACACTAATAGGATTAGTTAAATTTACTGTACAAAGGATACAATGTGTGACATGAAGATGATCAGTCAAGCTGAAAGAAGAAACACATTCTCCATCATCAGGCACTGAAACCCCAAAATACAGTTGGTTTTTTTTAAAGGAAACCTTAAAAAACATTAAAGTGACTGCACCTTTCCAGCTGAGTCCTGCAGCATAGCTGCCTCTAGATGATATGCCCATAGTGGATCCACATTCTTTTCAACATTTCTATACACCATTGTCTTCCTCTGCCACTCTCCTCAATTTTAGTTTTTCCATATGAATACAAGCATCAATATAAAAATGTTCACATCACTCTTGTCATCCCCTCCCACTTTATCTTAAACCAAGCACCCTTTTCATCTTGCCTTATCATTTTACAGTTATGTTGTAAGACCAGGTGTAAAATTTCAGCTGTTAATATTTAAAGATAATCCATCCAAACTGTAGAAGACTTAACACTGAATTTTATTTTAATGTAAAAATAATTAACTACACCACAGTTATCAAAAGAACTTACTGTACTGACATCTATCAAGTTGGGCACACCGTTTCACACTGGTTTTACTATCTACAGTAGCTGAAATATGGAAGTTATACAGTGATAGCTAGGTAAATTATACAGTGATATCAGCTCAGATTTTTGTAAGTGACTCATCAAAAATTGATTTTCAAAGACTGATTAAAAGAGAAATTCCAGTCACATTGGCATAGTAAACAAAAGGCATTTCATTTTTAAGCGTATCAGAATATTAGGCCAGGTTGGGTGGGGCTCTGAGCAATCTGATCTAGTTGAAGATGCCCCTGCTCACTGCAGGGGAGTTGGGCTAGATGACCTTCCAAGGTCCCTCCCAACCCAAACCATTCTATGATATTAGATCACTATGATTAACAAAGTAAGAACCATGTTATTTATGTACTACCTCTAGAATCTCATTGAGCAGAACCAGAAGATTCTCTGTAGAAGAACTACTGAGTTCCAGTGAATTTAAAGCCTTTGCATAAATACGAACATCTGGTGCAGTTGGGTCCATCAAGATTTCATTGCAAATTTTCATTGCTAAACTATCATGCACTGTTAAGTCCTGTAAAAGAAAGAAATCAGATATTGGAAACTTCACTGAGAACTATTTCCAGAAGACAGCAATGAGATCATTGATTTAAGCAGCCAATGACTAATTTTACATAGTAAACACTTTCTTAAAATGCAGTATCTTGAGCACATACACCAACTGATTTGTTGGTGCCAATATAGACAATTAGGCATGGTGCAAGTTCCTACTAGCATTTTTTAATTGTAAGAAGGAGAGGAACTGGGGGGGCAGCGGTGAGCAGAGGTCAAGCTAAAAGATTTCACTACCTGAAAAGTCACTCATTTAATCCAGCTTCTGACACTAGGAATCTTAGAGAGGCCCAGACAGATAGCAGTAAGTGAAGGGGGTCAGTTCTTAATCTCTAGACACAAATACTGCTTTTCACCAGTTTAACAGCCTGTACCTGATAGTCCTGAGACTTTTTAAACTGAGGTTTTAGTCCACTTGGTCTGGTGAGGTCCACTAACAGTTCAGAAACATTACTGATATCTATTTCAGCCAAAGGTGAAGTTGCAGGAGCATTTAACAGTGTTTGCAGAGTTGGAAGATAAGCTTCTTCAAAGCATTCCTGGTTAGACCTGTTTGAATTGAATCAAACATTAGAAGCATAATGAGACAAAATTAAACCTTCATTCACCCCTAAACTCCCTATGATCAACGTTCACAGACTCATTGTGTCCAATTCCGGAGCCCCCAACACAAGAAAGACACGGACCGGTCAGAACGAGTCCAGAGGAGGCCACGAGGATGATCCGAGGGCTGGAGCACCTCTCCAATGAGGACAGGCTGAGAGAGTTGGGGCTGTTCAGCCTGGAGAAGTCGGCAGGGAGACCTTATAGCAGCCTTCCAGTACCTGAAGGGGCTACAAGAAAGCTGGAGAGGGTCTTTTTACAGAGGCAGGTAGTGATAGAACAAGGGGAAATGGGTTTAAGCTGAAAGAGGGGAGGGTTAGATTAGATATTAGGAAGAAATTCTTCACTGTGAGGGTGGTCAGACACTGGCACAGGTTGCCCAGAGAAGTTGTGGATGCCTCCTCCCTGGAAGTGTTCAAGGCCAGGTTGGATGAGGCTTTGAGCAACCTGGTCTAGTGGAAGGTGTCCCTGCTGATGGCAGGGGAGTTGGAACTAGATGATCTTTAAGATCCCTTCCAACCCAGACCATTCTATGATTCTATGATTACAATACATCAAGTCAAAGCAAAGTGGGAGCAGCCATTTTGGTAGAAACAGCCAGCAGGACTAAGACATCAAAATTGCTTCACAGAACCAATCTCTTTTCAGTTTTAGCACATAGTATTTCAAGTAAGTTTTAAGTAACACTTCCTGCCTCTGTACAGTTTGGAAGTTCATCCTTACTACTGAAAACCTAACTGATCTATACAGACATATTCTCTCTTAAGGGACAGAAATAAATTTCTCTAAATCTTTTATTTAGATTAATCTGTCTTCTGCTCATTCCTCCTTCCTGCCAGCGTTTTTCTTTGGGGATACTTCTCATTGTGGAAGAAAGCAAGGAAGCCTGGCAAAAAATGCAGTGGTTAACAAGATTTCTTTGGAAGAAATACTTGCACTTGCTTTTCTCAGAAGAGTTAATAGCTCCTGCCAAGCAAGCCTAAAAATCATGTTACACTTGGTCCTGCAGCAAGTCATCTAAAAGTGTAGTTCCACAAGACAAGTCAAAACAATTTAAAAGGCAACACTGAAAAAGTACAAGGTACTAGTTGGTGAAGTAAAGCCTTGTTGTTTCTGATACTTGTTAACCTCCTATTTGAACCCAAATAAAATACAGGAGAAAACTAAGTAAATAATTTCAAAAAAGTAGATTGTTTACTGCTGAATTATTGAGCCAAATCAGCTGACCAAAAAACCTTTTCAACATTAAAACTGGGGCAAGAAAGCATGGAAACAAGAACTCTCCCTTTCAGCAGCTTTAAGGCTTTAGATTGGCTCAAGTGTATCTGAAGTATCATTCAGATTATTTCCTGTAAATTAAAAATAAATAAGGTCTAGTAGCAGCATACAGGCACAAGGCAGAACTTTCTCCTCTTAGGTTGCCAGAGAGTGTATTACTTTTTAGAAAATCCCATGAATAAGAATTGTTCACTGGTTAGAGGATCCTGTCCCTGTTATTAGCATGCCATGCCACGCTACTGACACGGCAGAGTATTTATAGAAGTCAGCATCAACATTTCCCCCCCCTCATACAGAGTTCAAATATTTAATTTTAACAAGTAAGTCTCTTGATTATATCTGTGACCAGATGGAGAGGTTAACAGAGCAACAGCCAGAAAACAAATGGAATTTTAAAATTCGGTGAGAGATCAGCACCAAAACTAGGTATGAACCTCAGCCAAATCTCATTCATTACCTGAGTTTTCTTCTTCTGAATGGCAACTTTGCAGGCTGTTCTGAATTACACATGGTAATTAATAACTCTCTTCTGAAAATCCAGTACTGGTAACCAAAGACACTCCATGATTCATCTTAAAATGAACCGTTTGTGATCCAGAATGCGGATAATGTTTTGAGACAGGAAATTAATGAGATTGATTTGGAATCTCTGTTTAATTAGGAAACAATGAGCCAGACTAAGATTTAGGACTTTTTTCTCCACTGATTTTTCTGATTTTTGCTTAAAGCATACACCATGTTTTTCTTTTCAAGTAAAATATCATCTATGAGGTGCCAGAAGGAGTTGCCTCATTTACAAATGACTTTGAAATACCCAAAATTACTCAAGTGGGCAATCATAAATCATTAGTCATAATAAATACATAAATATATATTTTAAAAAACCCCAAACCAATTAGAGATTCACAGAGTCAGAAGACAACATTCACAGTTAAACTATTTTCCATGTTAAAAGCTTAAACTCATTACTCAATATCAGAGAAACTGGAAGCATATGAAATTAGTTTTTCTGTTACTTATTTCCAAAAATAATTTAAGTATGGGAAAGCTCATTCTGGAGAAGACTGAGTATTCTTCTCTCTCTTTTTTTTTTTTTTTCCCCTCTCTGACAACAGCAAAAATACATTTGTTTGGGTTTTTTTCCCCTCTCCAAACCAACTTCCCTTCAAACTATTCCTCTTAATGTGGCAATTTATAGGTCACAAAAAAATTGTTTACATTTGTTTTGGAAAAATAAATAAGGTAATATATAATATGCCTAAATTAAACCTTAACCATAAAAAAAAGCAGATTAAAACCTCAGCTAGTTCAGACTGGATAAAACTGTTAGCAACAACTGAAAATTAAGTTAAACATTTTTTTCTTTGAGCAAGTAAAAAGTGATTAGAATTACTATTTAAGGTCCTATCCCCTAACATTAGCTCTCTACCTCCTTTGTCCACTACCAAAATAAAGAGGAGACTTTGAACCTGTTTTGAATTTAGAGTGAAGTATTCTTTGTTTAAAAAACAAAACCCAAACTACAGCCAGCCAGCCTGCTGCTTTGATATCTGCTGGGCACCAATTATTTTCTTTTGAAGCACTTTTTAGTGACACTTCAAAGTCTACCTGTAGTGCTCAACAGCATTAATAAGTAAAGCACATCTTTTAAAATTAATCTTTTATTCAGAATCTTGAAGAACAGTTTCAATTATAGGTGTAGGAAAGGAAAGGAAAAAAGTGTAAGGGTAAGAGGGAATTAATGGAAACTTCAGAATAGTCATAGGTTGAGATGACGTATGTCCAAAAGCAATATGCATAGGAGGAGGAACTAGACCTTTCGGTCTAATTTGCCTTTGTGCAATTTCTACTTGTGCAAGATCGAAAAAGGTTCTTAAACTGATAGACCAATGTATATTTTCATATAACAATTTAAAAAGGCCATACCTATTTGCATAAGCAAATAAAGGGAAGAAAACTCCCAGACAGTGTCTAAGCCGAGTATCCTCTTCGGTGACAGGATTATACCACAACAAAACAAGGCGAGAAAGAAGCTTGGCGCTAATCAGCCTCCCAGAGAACATCAGTTTGGCAATGCCTTCTGCAGCTTCTGTCCTGAGTTCTGAAAACTGAAGAAAGAACTGATCATATACAAAACACACCAAACACGGCATTTTTCACTAATACTTTATAATAATAGTCTACATCCTATTTTGCCAAACAATTCTGTACATTCACATATTGGCACCTGCACAGAATTCAAAGCCAGCTCAAGTGTAAGTTAGTCTCTACTACTGACAGAGTTGTGGTCATTTTCCAGGACAGCTATTTTAACATTAAACCATTAACTTCAATTACGCATCATCTAATGTTCACATGCAACCTAAAGGGATAGTAAACTTTCTACAAAATTGTTTTAAAACTAAACTAAGGAAAATTTTATAGTATTTCTTACCTCACTGTCTAAGAAACCAGAAAGAAGCTGCAGGAGGCTGTGAATTGTAGCACTCTCTTCTTCGTCCTCTGTTTCATTTTCTTCCTCACGATTTTCAGTTCTTCTGGCTTTAAATGGCTCAATCCCAAACAGCATTAGTTGATCAAAGATTGCCTTTAAAGCACTGAGCTTTACCTTTATATTATCTATTTGTAAAACCTAGGTTTAATAAGGAAAAAGCATACATCATCTTACCATAGACCACTGATGTTAACATTAAATATAATAAGATTTGCTTTAATAAGATTAAATAATTTGGGAAATTTTTTATAATACTTAGGAAAAATTTCAGACTTTAGTAAGGTGTGATATAAGTAATCTGTGCAATTTCCATTACATAAAATCAATTGAATTTCACTCACAGAATGAGCATGCATGTGTGAGATGTAACTTTATTGTTCAACTTCTAAAAAGACACTGGACAAACAGAAAGTCTGTTTGCCTGCAGTAGCTCCATAGTGCTAAGCACTACAGAAAAAATAAAACAATCCTTGCTTTGAAATACCGTATAGCTTAGTTACAATAAACAGCATGTAAAAAGACAGCAGGGAGCAAGACAGTCATAAAAGTCAAAATTGCATAGGTTACTATATGTATTATAGTCCAAATTAACATTCAAATAAAAGCAAACATAGTCAGTTAGCCCAGAGATCCTAGAGGTGTTTAACCCAACACCTTGTTTTTGACGGCAGCCTACGCAAAGAGTATGGGGTTCAGTACCTACAGAAATTAATTACTTAAGTCTAAACACTGAACTGCTAAAGCAACTGAAATCCTCCCCAGACAAACTGATTTTTAATGAGACACACTCAAAGGCAGATTAAAAACAGCAAGATTTGCTAAGTTTTTAGGAATCCAAAGTTCTCCTGCTACAGTTACCAACAGCTCTATCACCTTGTCTGAGCCGAGCATACAATCTCAATGCCTGCTGTCAGTTCTCCCGAATGTGTACACGTTCTTAATAAAGCACGACGGCCACCTACACTCCCCTCAAAGCCAGGGTCTGGAGAGTTAACAACAGTGTCATCTTTTAGATAATTCGGTCAGTATCAGAACATTTACCACAAAGGTAGATGTGGGTATAATGGCACCCAGCATGTTCCATATCATTGACCTTTGCCCATGCTATCATTTGTTGATTTGAATATTGCTTTATCCTCTAATTAACAACTCTTACTTAATCCATGCAAAATTAATAATTCAGAAGTTACATTGGATATACAACATCACAGGTACATATGTAACAGAAACGTAAAGAGAATCACAAGTCACATTTTTAGTTTGTTTCCCCAAGGCAGGCAGGCTTACAGAATCCTACAGCTTCTCTTTTCTGTGTCGTACTAACATAAATACAGAACTGATTTCACCCAGATTTAGAAGAAAGTGTGACCTTACAGATAAATAATTCCTACAAACTTTCAAGACAACAGGTGACCTTACAAAGGAAAGGCATACTACTACCAAGATGCAATATAAGCTTGAGTATTATTAGACACGAGAAAAATCTACATGAAACCACACTCTCCAGATCCAGATCTTTAGGAAATCAGGAATCACTGGTTCTCAAATAATATTAACCATGCAGAACAGCTTGTTATAGCTACAAGACTAGTTTTATTCACTAGGTCACACAGATCATCCTTCCATTTCCCATCTGACATTTTACCTGTAACAGCAACGCAAGCTGTTGTCGGGCAAATTCTTTGTTCTGAAGGGCACAGCAACCCAAACACAGAACTGCCATATTTCTCACAGCTGGATGGACATTAGTTATGCCAGGAAGTATCTGGAAACAATAATGTTAGACTTTACAGTTGAAATACATACACTGAAAATAAAAAAACTGACTACTAAAATGTGCTTACCCTGAAACTAAAAATAATTTTGTTTGATACAGGACTGGGAAGTAGTAACTACTAAATACCCTGTTTATCTAAATCTTATTGAGTATGCTGTTTGAAATCAGCAATAAAATACTAGCAAAAATAACAAGTGTTTTGCTTTCTGTGTTTTTAATACATAGTTGTTTTCAAACAAAATTAAGTTGACCACTTATTCTGAGATAATAACAAACAAAGAACACACAGCAACAAACCTACACATTTCTTCATAAAAAGACATCAGCATTCCAACCCAGTTCCAAGTTGCAAAGTACAGATGCCACTTTCATGTAGTTGGAATAGTTTTGAGAAGACAATGGCAAAAATCCACACAAAAGAAAATCCACACTAGATACATGGTGAACACTACAATGGGATAATTCTATATTTTTGCATTTACTAAAGACTTCAAGTTTAAACAGCCACAAATAAGATATCCCAAATCATGTAATATGTGAAAATCTAGCAGGAACAACAATATGAAAGCAGGATCTTAGAGAAAGAAAAGTGGGACAAACACAAATATGAAAATTAAAGAAAGACCTAATGAAAACAAAAACATTTCTAGGGGACACTGATTAGGACACTAATCAACACTAATTAGGTTTTCTAAGAATACTGCTATACATCTGCAAGAAATCAGGTGTGGTTCCACTACATTTGAACTAATCTAAATTGATGTTCCAATTTTCTTTGCAGTTCGAATTCTAAGAATGCCCATACTGAGTCAAGTCATCTAGACTTTTTATCAAAAAACATCAAAACCGAATTCCTGTGAAGTATTACATAAACAGACTAAGTAGGTCCTTCCCAAGAATTCTTGTCAAGGTCCCAGCAATTTACAGCTGAGACACAGCAGAGCTGGGAGGCTATTCCTATCTACCTCATCATTCCATAACATTTTTTTTTTTCTTGAACCTTTGAAATTTTTGCAAGTGTTCACCATGCAGACATCCTGCAACAAGGAATTCCACAGTTACATATTATGGCAAGAAACAACTCATTTAATTTGTTTTGAGCTTGCTAGTTTCTAGCTTTATGGGGTGATCAACCAATCTTTATTCACATTTTCCATCACACTCGCATCTTATGACTTCTGCCCTCTCCCAGACCCCATTCCTGAGCCCTCTCTTTTCCAGGTTACAAAGAGGTAACCTACTGAGTCATTCTTCATACAGAAGCCATTCCATACTTTGCCTTGCTGCCCTTCTCTTGACCACTTCCAATTCAAATATAAACTTCCTACATAGATGGGAAAGAATTGTAGAGAGTATTCAGATGTGGGTGCATCATGTATTCATACAATAGCATATTAAGTTTTTTCCATTTTGTTTGCACACTTAATAACAGTTAAAAGTCCGTGATACTTGGAAATGTTCATCTTAAAATCCATACTCTTCACAGTGAAAACTAGGAAGTATATCTTCTAGACTATAAGAGGCTTATAATGCCACTGCCTTATTTTTCAATACAAAAATGTTTTTGCTCTTCAAAGGTGCTAAGAAAACAGAGTAGGGTTGCGGGGGGAATCCCCCCCAACATCTTTTTTTGTACATGGAAGGGATGAAAGAAAGGTCTATATGAGTTCCAGTCTCTCTTAGATGAAAAGCTCTGACTAGCTTAAAAAAACAAAACAAAACAGAAAACCCAAACCCTTGAAGTTCTCTAATAGAGATCTCATACCTTTGGCTGATAGAAAATCCAAGTAATTAAAGTACAAGCAAGGGTGGCAAGCAGATGCCCAAGCACCACACTTGGCACAGTATAACTCAGCCCTGTCCAACACTCATACATTAGTCAAATACTTACCATATTCTTGTTTTATTTCAGTATCTGTCTGCCACAACCAGTTCTAGCACTGGAGCTCAGAACAGTGTCTCTGGACTGCACCTCCAAGACACTAGGTTCTAGGAAGGCTTAAAAGCACCAGCACAGCACTACAGATACAGCAAAGTGATTGTGAAACAATCACAAACCATCTTACCAGCACCTAAGGGTCAGCTATGATTTATCAATTTTTATTACAATATAAACAGTATTTATTCCTACATACCAGAGATTCAATGATTTCATTAATGGTTGGACCAATTCCTTTAGAAAGGGACATGATCTTCAGAAGCTCATAACACATCATCAGACACTTCAACAGTGTTTCAGGATCATTCTTCAAGTGGGTCAGGGAGAAGAAAAAAAGGTTATTAATACAAATGGTGACTGTGATAAGGAGAACAGAGGCATTAATCATAATTTTTCCCTACCTAAATAAACATCTCCCATCCCCTACACATTTGTTGTGCAAGAATATTAACCATAATCTGTCTGTTCATTGATGATGAAAAGAGATTCAGGTTCATGTTTTCAGTTAGTTAAGAGTAAAGACAGTAAAAACACGTCCATTCTAGAATTCTTTAGTTACTCAAAGACTAAAGAGCAGTTTAACTGCAATCCATTTTTTGCTAGAGAATACTATCAGTTTCTATACATGCAGAAGAAGAATACCAATACCAGAAATGTTCTTGTAAAAATTTAGATGATGCAAGGCCAAACTACACTTTCTTTTAAAGCTACGAGTAAACACCAGAACACAACGAGCACTTAGGAATACTGGAAGGCAACACAGACCTTCTCCACACGCATTTCTTTAATTTCAGGTTGCTCTGCTTCTTTTATCAGATCATTTTTTGTTTGTTCCAACTCAGTTATTTTCTCTTTTAATACTGATGCTGTGTTAAAATCCTGAAGAGTAATGCATTGTTCCAAAGCTTCTTTTGCTTCAAAAAGTTTCACTTTTATTTCAGCCAACTGAAATACAAAGTAAAGAGAAAATCAATAATACCATAACGTTCATAGTATTACCAACAATACAGTATTGACACTGCTAGATAAAACTCTTATTAGATAGATATGCTTAAAGAATATTGTTCTTGTTAACTAAAATCTGCTTACCTTCAGCTCCCGCTTTCTTATTTCAGCAACATCAACAGGCTGGTCGAGTGAAACAATTGGTTCACGAACTTCTGATATAATTTCTGCAATCTGTCGTTACAAACAGTATATTAGTGCCATGAATTTCAGCTCAGATGTAAGATACTAAGCATTTAACTTTTCCAAACTTAAAATACCGTCCTTCTGAAGAAGTATTGAACATCTGTGCAGTTTTCCTTAACAGCTAGTTCACTGCAAATAAATCCTCAATTTGACAGTACATAGTTGAATCATGAAAACCTAGCATCTTCTACCACTGAGCTAGGTAAGCAAGAAAATAGAAGACTCTATATCCACGAGTAAGTTAAGCAGTTTCTATGCCAACAGTTCACATCTCCTCTAGGGCTGAACACATACTTTAAAAAAGAATTACCAGTAATAAGTAAGGTTTTTCATCTGTTACTGCTTCAATCAGAACACAACCAAAAACACTATCATTTAAAGGTCTATTATCTACCATATGTAGTATAAGGAGTCATATAAGTAATTTAATTTCAAGCCAAATACAGGCATAGAAATAGAAGAACCAGGCTGAGTGTTTTTCAGTTGGTTAGGAGTTTTCTTTAAAGTCAGACCCATTACGTTAATAAATAATTAGATGAAACATAAGAAAAAACAAAGGCTGAATGAGACAGGATAGTCTTAACTTGATTTCTCTTGCATCAGATCACCTCAGTTTAACTTCCTCCCAAGCTGTACCCAAATCAACAGAATGTATTGAATCAGTGTATGACACTAGAAGAACAGAAATGCACACATTTACTATTACTATTGTACTGTGGTGCTAAGATTACCATAGTTTTTCCACCGTAATCTTGTAACAAAGCTATTTCCTAGCTTTACCCACTGGACTGAGGTTTTCCAAAAGTGGTCTCTGTCCTCAAGTCCAGGGTTCATTTAAAATATTTGAGCAAAATCAAGGGTCCATTTTTTAGGATTCAAGTTTAAATAACTATGCTGCATATAAAGACTCTACTATATAAAACACTTTTCTTATAAGGGCTTTTAGTACCCATCTCAGCTAAAAGGAGGGAAGAGAAATCTGAAACCTGGAAATGTACATTATCCTCACTTTGAATGTTCTCATCAAAACTGTCTGGATCCAATATGACAAAGGATTTTAAAACAGGCTGTCTAAATATATTACTTTCCTAACTGGAGGATTACATTTACAGCACCAGCCAAATACTCCAAAGATCTTTTACCAGACTGCAGCTATGCTAATAAATAAATAAACAAATAAATGGAGAAAAGGGGGAAACACATAAATGCTTTTCCAAACTAAAAATATTTTACTTCTTGATATTTCTATTACAAAGCTTCATAAAGGCTGTTTGATATACAGGGAAAGCAGAGCCTAGAAAACAATCAGCCATTAGAATTACTTACAATTTGAATCCTTCTGTCATCATCCTTAACGATGCTGAGTAATCTTTCTGCCAGCAGAGATATAAGGGCTGTTGAAGTTGCAGGTAGAATGAGAATCTTTTGTAAGGTAACTAACAGATGCTTTCTGCATTAAAGATAAAAAAAAAAAAAAACTCCTCACGCTTATTGAAGAAAATGGAAGACATGAATTAATACTGTACTCACTTTGAGTTAGTGTGATGAAGACTTTATAATATATTATAAAAGAAACTTCTTTATAGCTATATTAACTGCTGAATACTTTTTCTTACTTAGCAATGTTTGTCTTTTCCTGATTTTATCTCACTTCTCTTGATCAGAAAATACTGAATTTTTTAATCAGGAGTAACTACTGTCCAGTGAAAGGTCATACCAGCAGAAAAGACTCAGAGTATCAATACTGTAGAATGCTTTCATAGAAATTACCTGGCTGGAAACTAAAAAAAACCCCACAATTACAAGTTAAACTATCCTGTCAATCTAGCATTACATATATAATGCATTCCACTCACGGTTTGAAATTATTGCTGTGTTTGTACTATCATAACTGCAATTTTTCATAAAATTCCTGTGATAGTATGAACTTCTAAGTGTATTCACTCATATTACTTCACACCAAGTGGCTGTTCAAATTATAGGAATCACTCAGTTAACACAGTCCAATTCAGCTTGGCATCTAAACTTCTAACCTTTTAGGCTTTAGCAGACTGGGCTTAAAATCATAAGAAACATACAGGTTACTTACTACAAGTCATCTGCTAAGAAGTAATCCATTTATCTCCTTTAATTTTTTATATACTATGTTCCAAATGAACAGTCTTGTAATTCCATAATATAAAGAATATGTTATGAAAACAACTGAATTTGTTCTCCCCAAAGTTGTATCTGCATTAAAACTCATTTTTCCATAAAAGTAAGCAGACAATATTTGGCACACTTTTGTGAACAATTCCGTTAGAGAGACTATGCCTTTTTTTCCAGCCAGCATTAGAACTGTATTTTGTCTGTTTGATCAGGTTATTTTCCCAACAGAGACTCTATGCCTGTCCAGAAGCATAAGTGCCATAAGCTTAACAGCACAGATTTTACATTTAAGCCTACCTGCCTCCCTCTTCCATGGTATCCATGCAGCCGATGATCAGAATCAGTTGCTGGCCTATAAATTCTTTTGTCATCAGGTTTTCAAAACAAGTAAAGTCTTCTCTTTGCTCTTCACTAAGAACAGGCATATTTTGAAGGTAACTGGATCCAAACAGAACAAATGTAATTACATTCAGAATCATTGTTAGAAAGTGTAAAAAGTTCCAGGAAGTTATTTATACCAAATAATGTCCAGTTTAAAAATAATGCACTTCATTTTAAAAATCCCTTCTAAGAAACAGAAAATGTCAAATTATGCTTGTACATGTGATTTCAGTTCTGTACCCTGAATAAAGGCATTGTATTCAGAATAAATGTATATATGTATCATTTTTCATATACAGAACTAGTATTTTTCTGCATATTTAGGTATTATACTTCTGCATGTTCAGACATGTTATATGGCCTACAAGACAAAATACAAGAAAATCATTAGTGTGCAGTGAATTTTAAATTCTTTATCTGGTCAAGTATGCCATCATGGAAGAACAAGCTGTTGTCAGATACACTCAGACACGTAATGGAAAGTGTAATCAGTTTGTTCTGTTTATTTTTCTAGAGTCAATTCTTTTATTTACATTTTATCCATCAATGAGAGCATGCATGTTCAGAAAATCTGAAGTGAAATACATCGTGTAGAAAATTCAATATTGAATATAATGTCATATATAAAATTCAAATACTGATATGAGCTGTGAAAAAAGATGCTTATTTTTACCACAGCTTTTCAGATACTTTTCAGCAAAAGCACATTAAATTTAGCAAATTATAAAAATTTCTTCAAGGTTAGGACAAAAACTTTGCACATGGCTACTATTTAAGAATATCTGAAATTACAACTATGAAGGCAGCTGTTTCGGATCATTCAACAATAATATCTGCACCAGATAATAGTGAAGTATCTAAATGAAACTTACAATCCTGCATTGTCTTAAGTATCAATGCCTTGAGGTTTCTTGCTCCTCCAAACTGACACTCTCACTGTGTAAATACTTTCATTGTACAACTGTAAGTCTTACCTGAAACAACTGGTGGCACAGCTCACCAATGAACAGTTTAACAGCTGATACCACAAACAAGTACCAGTAAACATAATTAATCTTACTCAGCCTCTTCCTGAAGGGGAAGACAACTGAAAGCATTTTGAGTAAGAACGGATGGAAGAAAGACGACCTTCCCCCCCGCCCCGTGAACAAATGCTTTATGGACTCTTAAATTAATTATGAATGAATGAATTTCCACCCACCAAACTGAATCTACATTTCAAAATCACGGAAGCACAGATGCTTCATTTATTAAATGTTTATGAAACACGTTCACACATTCCACATTGAAAAGTAGCAGGGATTTGTATGAGTACTACTAGCATACTACACCCACTGAAGTGAGAAAAGAAAATGCATTCTTTTTAATTGGAAGCATCAATCAAAACAATGCATTTTTCAGGAGATCTGATTTATAATAATTTCAGGAAGCTTCAATCTACAGTTTACAAATACAATACCTCAGTTAAGATTTCTCAGCATTCTCCATGCTCACAAACAAACTCTGTTCAAATTTTATGTTAAAATTAAAATACCCCACTGATACAAAAAAATTTACCTTTCTTCGCTTTGGCAAAAAGATTGACTTAACAAAACATTCATTGTTCCTCCCCGATTCTGCGTTCTGCAATTGGCTCATTTAGCAGCTCTGTCACTGCCTTCAAACATAAGTTTTTGGGAAGCATGCCTGCCTGAGCAGGGAAAAGAGAAGGGAATGAACTTGCAGTTTCAAGAACACTTCCCTTGGGGACAGCAGCCAAATTTTACTTTATTTTCACAAGTTACAACAATGAAAAAAGTATCGGTTTCTGCAAGCTCTAAAATCGTCTTTCCACAAGCTCTCTACAAACACACAGCCACCTACATACTAACAGATGGACAAATGATAGCTGGGTATTACAGAACAACTATTCTCTTCTCTTAAATGGCAAAGAATTCTATGCTATTGATCTAGCAGTCCATTTTGCTGATAATTAATGAGAAAACATGAAAACTGCTTTCAGGTTATATATCTGCTTTATATGTTTTTTTGTTTAAGGAGTAAATCCTCTCAAAAATCATAAAAAAGGGTTTGGTTGGTTGGTTGTTTTTTAAAAAAAGCCACTGTTCAAGCACAACTTTGGCAGAAACATGAACAGTTGAATAATAAAAATATTCTCTACTTAAAAAAAAAAAAAAAAAAAAAAAAAAATCTATTTAAATGCCAAAAGATTTATTTTTAAATGCAATGTACCTTAATAAATAATCTGCATATATAGCTGGTTCTGGCAACAACTGTTCTAGTAAATCTTCACCTTCTTCACCTTTTGATTTTAGATATTCACAAAGACATCTCCAGTATAACACATTCTCAGGTGTTAAGTCTTCCAGTGGGATCAGTTTTCTAAACAAAAATAAATAAATACATAGAGATAAATAAAATAGGGTCAAAGACAACAAATGCAGATAAATAGATTATTTCCTAAGATTTAAATAAAATTCTGTCAAAGGTATTCCCCACAGAAGTACTTACAGATTGACAAAAATAGGTTCCTCTTTCTTAAGTGAGGACACAGAGCTCCCTGAGCCTCTCATTACTTTGCACTTCCCAGTATTTTAATCAAAGCTGTTTGTATCAGTTTGCAGAAGAATTCTGCTCAGCCCTTCAAAGCTCCTAGAACCACCACCCAAGTACTTTATCTCTATGAAATATTGTTATCACTGTACAAGTCTGGGAAACTGAACTCCATTAATCTGCATAAATGCAACTTCTGCGTTAAATTATTTTTCAGCTTCTATTTATGAAGTGTCACTTCCGTTCTTAATACAAGACCTTCACACAACATTCAAGTAGCAACTATAGTACGTCAAATGCAGAAAGTTACAGAACTGCTCCTCAGCATCTCTGTAAACTCATCCTCCCTTTACCAGTCATAAAACTCCCACTCCTTTTTATAATCACAGTCTTTTCCATGCTAAGCATGGAATATATATTTTGTTTTCAGAAGCAGAACATTAAGTTGTGCATTAATTCTACCTCAAAACAGAAAAGACAGAGTATCACTTTCACTGGTACTTTTCACTCCCTTGAATCCCACTTGCAGACTATCAATAAGAATTTTGGTTTTCTTTTAGGTCCCTTACACACAAAAAAAAAAACCAAAACAAAACAAAAAAACAAACAAAGAAAACTTAAAAACTCACAGCAACATGTAGATGAAAACTGATCATTTGATGGCTTCCCATTAATCTGACAAGTCTTTCTTTAAAAGTAAATTTAACAAACAGAAATCACAGACTTCAAAAATCTAAGCATTTATCACACAGATACTGCACCATTCCAGCTGTAGTCAGAAACATCATACAAGAACAAGCCTAATATTTTCCTAAACAACCTCATTACAAGATGAATAATTTCTCTCCCTTCTCAAAAACGTCATTAGTCTAACAGATCTACTACTTAAAAAAATTCTCAGCCCAGTCTTTCAGAACAGCAGCCTCGTTTTGTGCAGGATCAAAGTCAGACGGACAAATCCATAACTAAATAAATTTTTCCTCTGAACCTCCTAAGACACTGGCACATTTCCAGAGGCTGTAAGAAAGTTATTTCGCCATTACTGATCCTTTTTAAAGCCTGACAGGCCCACACCTATAGCTCTGGAGCACAATGCTTGTAGCCTCTACCGATTTTAAACCATCTGTCATAAGCTACTACTAAAGTGCAGACACTTCAGATGACATTATGCATTTTCCCTCAAAATACAGAATAAGATTGTTATCACTTTTTAATCAGTGACAATCTGTCATTTAAATTTATAATCTGAGATTAGACTCCTACCACTGTTAATAATCATTCCACTCTGGTTGCCTTAATTAACTCAAGCTGTTTCTTCTCATACCTTTTTGCCTTTGTAGCAATTTCCTACAACTTCTCATTTCTTGCTTTCTTCCCCCCTTCATTTTTGCTTTATGGATCTTAATATTCATCATATCATCTTCTTCATAGCTTACAAACTCATTCAGTCAAATTCTACCAAACATTAACACAGGAAAAGAAGCCTCTAAGATACCAACTTCTGTCAAGCTCTGTTAATATCAGTAAAATACCTCCAAATGGTGGCTGAAACACAAGTCAAATAATTCCATTCTGACTTCATTCTCCAAACAGCTCAGGGATAACTGAACCAGCCCCAAATTGTGCCGCCTCTAGCTCAGCAGAAAGGATAGAGGGAAGCCAACGGGGACTAGGAAATGCGTGAGAAAGACCAGAAGCATTACTGAGAAGGAAGAGGAACTGGAGAAAAGGAGCTTTTCAGTACCACAGGTTAAAAGAAGAGAGGAAATTTCAGTAGTGGGGGTAAACTACAGCATTGCCTTTACTGTAAGCTGTACAGACAGTACACTAAATAAAACTAACTAGATTAAGTTATTACTCATAGAAAAGCTTGATCAATTGATTAATTTACTGTCTCCTCTTAAATTCTAGGAGTGTAGGTTTTGGAGTGTTCAGGAAACCAGAAGTCAAAGACATTTTTCATTTTTCCCTCCTTATTTATCTGGCATGTTAAATTTCAGCTGGCAAACACAGATTTTTTTAAAAAGTATACTGAAAACACTTAAGTACACAAACATCAGGGAGACATCATGGCTCACACCACAACATCAGTCTTTTATCACAGGCAATAGTTCCTCATTTAGATATAACTTTTAATTTAATATTCTTATACAAAATATTAGTATTTTGGAAATGAAAACTGATCTGCATACCTGCTGTCAAGGTTTTTACAGTTCTGAACAAAGTCATGAAGTGGAGATAATGAAAAAATAGCATTTAGTACTGGGATGGCCACTTCTGGACAATTTTCCACATCAAGTCGATGAAGCAATTCTAAAACATCCCCTTCAGTGAATCGTAACCAGGCTTGAAGCAGCTTCTTCATTACCTCCTTAACAGCATCTAATAATACAGGAATTTAAACGGTTTAAAACATTAAAGATCAAAAAATACCAAGTTTTCAACATACTTTCACAAATCTATAAAAGGCTTTTTGGAAATAAGTTATTATACAGTTGAATTGCACATTTCCTTAAATAATAGTCTGATGGAAGTAAAAGCATAATAACTAGGGAACAATACAAGTATGCTCTTAGGACCTTTTAGAAAACAATATCCAATATAATGGAAAGAAAAGTACACACACACTGACAACACTCATTTTTTCCTCTTATATGTAACCTATGATAACAAAGACAGTGCTTAAATATAGTGAAGAGTTCAAAAAGAACTGTAAAAAGGCCTTGAAAGAGCTAAATTAAGATCCTAAAAATGAGAAACCTCTACAATAAGGTGAAAAGCATAAACTAGTAGAATGAAAGAGAATGAGAGTGGAGAACCGACAGCTGAATGCACCCTGAGAAGTAGAACTAAGCAGAATTTGGATTATGTCTTCCAGGTCTTGCTTAATTACAAACCCTTGTTCTTAAGTCAATATGGAAAAACATCCAAAACGTCAACCTAGCAACCTTGAACAAGCAGGTTCCTCTCTCATCAGCTTGGGAGTTACTCAGTTCAGCAAATTTGATAAAAATATACACATTCAAGGTTATAAATTCGAAAACAGATCAAAATGAGAGAATACTAGAATATGTATATATAAATGCAGCCAATTTGGAACATAAACCTCTTTTGCCTAGCAAAGAGCATACGATCTCAGTTATATCAGGAAGGCTACATACCCTGGCAGATATTCCCCCTTGTGATTCTAGATATCAAGTGAAAGAGCAAGTCCTCAATAACTGGGATGACGAATCATCCTAAGGAAGGGACACCAACAGAGAAAGTATCTGCTGTGGATCATAAAAGAAGGCAGTTCTTTATGTTGAACACCTCCATGTCACTGAAATAAAGGCCCTGCAGAAAGGCTGTACCTTCTCAGGAAAGGAATACAACAAATCCTTGTTCCTGACAAATGAGGAACTGAATTAAATAATTACATTTTTCTACTTCTGTGTTTAATTACATTGTTGTTTTTAAATTTTAATTACTTAAGAGTTATTTTAGAGTTTTTTTTAGAAGTGCAACCCTTTCGTGGTTTGTCCACTATAAGGGGATTGGAAAACAAGCAGCAAGCAGAATTTCTTGTCCTTTAACATTTCCTGGCACCTCATGAGTCCTTTTGAGCTCCTTATTACTGCCATTGTAACTTCCACATAAATCATCCCCAAAAATCTTATAAAGTATTCTCTCTTAAACATTTGTATTAAGATGGTGAGAAAGATGAGCTCTTACCAGATCTGTCATTAAGTCCTTGTTGCAACAATTTTACTCTCTGTGCTATTGACAGAGCTCTCATGTGAACTTTTTCTGCCAAAACCTTAAAAAAAAATTTAAGACATTAAAATACACTTCTACAAATGACAACAACTGAATTCTCCAGCTACCTCTGGTTTTAAACTCTCAGCTTTATCCATCCATAGAAATTGTAAGTCAAGCCTGTAATATCTATACCATCAGCATTGTAACAATACATTAACAAGCACATTCTTGTGCATGGCAGAAAATGTAAAATAAAATAAAGTAAGAATAAAGTTAACAAATAGCTTAGAAGCTTGCCAGCTCCACTTGAATGAAACACCTGGATATGAAAACTATTCTCTCTTTAAAGCTCCAAGAGCAATGAATACCTGCAATGGAATGACAGAAAACCTACTAACGTAGAGATTCAGTTAAAAAATAGAATTTAATCTAAATTAAGAAAGAACAAAAGATGGTTCTGCGTGAAAAAAAATTGAATATTTTGTTTGAAGACCTTGCCTAAGATGCCAGCACAAGAAATATACATACCTTCTTTCCCTTACCTCTACACGTAAACATAAGTAATGGTTGATAATACTAAAAATCAGAATACAAAAAATATGCAATTTTTACACTAGTATTGCTGTGATCCTAACTTTACCTAATTACCAACTATGTAACAATCAATTATGTAACAATAGAGAAGAAAATTGTTTCACAAACGTCACAAATTGCATAGAGAGAAAATAACAGATTATATAAATAACTTATACTTTTACTGTCTGATCCTGAAAAGCTCAATTCTATTACAAAAGTAATTTCTATCAAGCAAGTTCTGCAAGTTCAGGGGTTTTAACTTGAAAACTTGTACTAAATCACTCCCCCTCAAAATTCTGGTAAGTGAAAATAAATTATTTAACTGTTCTTAGTGTTTAACCAGTGAAATGTAATAAAAGATTTAAAGCCTTTTTCCTAAGTCAGTCTTTGAAATTAATATTAAGTGATCCAATTTACCTCATATGCCAGCTTTCTGACAGCTTCCTTTACATCCATAGTGCGGCCTACAATTTTTGGCAAAGTCCTTGCTGATGGAGCAATACATGACAGCACTGCACGCCTCACTTCTGAATTTGAATCATTTTCAAGCAGTATGTTGTAAACTGAAAGTACAATAGTTTTCACAAGTGTTTGAAACATTATAGAAAACCAGATTTTATTATTTTTTTTTTAAAAAGGCTGTTATTAAAACCCCTCCCCCACCTCTGCATAGCTCATACAGATTTAGGGAACAGTTTAGGGTCACAACCCCAAGATTTTATGTCAAGCACATGCTGAGTTATAATCTCAAAAGCAATTCAGCTACGAAAATATCTGCAATCATAAGTAGGATATTCAGTTAATAACTCCAAAAATAGCTACTCTAGATCCCACTTATAACCACTTTGTCCTTTACTGGAAAAAAAAACTTCCAAATGTTTGCTCCTTAAGATTCCTATTCACTGGCTATACAGCCTCATTACCTTTGAGGTAGATCCTCAAATGTTCCTATAAATGGAGAACTGCAATCTCCATTAAGCCTTCCAAAACTCAAGTAGTAAATCTCTCATGTAATGCTTTTGTTATATTCTTGACTTTTCTTCAAAATTAAAAGCAACAACAAAAATAATTTAATCAGAGAATACTTTAATTCATCTTTTTGCTCTGTGAAGTGATTACTGTCTAGGTTCTAAATAAGTAACTTATAAACAAACACTTAGAAAATACCATTTCAAAGAAGGTACCTTAACAACAACAACAAAAAACCCCAACTAACTTACTCTCTTCACAAAAGACAGTGTGTAAAGTTTAATCAGGGCATGATTTACATAACAGCTGTGCTGGTACAAACCTGCAGTCCATCTACCTTGAGGCAATGGAAGTAGGGGCTTAGTCAAGAATCACACCATGCACAAAGAAACCCACAAATGGCATAAAAACAGCATCAAGAAAGCTGGGTTCCAGAGGTGCTGATCTCAAAGGAAGTGATCCTGAACAAGATGAGACTCGCAGGAAAAAAAAAAGCCCCCAAAAGCGTAGGTCAACAATGTCAGTAACCAGTTTGCCTCTTATGGGGCAGACAGCTATAATTTGAGTAAACATTAGTTTTTCTATTACCATCTCTACTCCCCAAAGTGTTTTTGTACAAATTCAATTCAACTAATAGTACAAAAGGGTCCTTAGAGAGCAAGAACTGAGCAAGCATTTATCATATCTGCACCCCAAGCCACAACACACCATTATTCTCACCATCCTTCAGCTACATTCACTTCATAGAACAGCCTGAGCCCAAAACGATTTGACTGTCATTTAATCCCTAGTGGATCTCTCCTGCAAGCAGTTCTGTCATTTCCCCTTGAACATATAAAACTCCTGCAACTAAAACTCCTCTGGCAGAGACCTTCACAGTTTACAAATTATTATAAGAATATCCTCAAAGATTTGTTCACAGATGCTTAAAAAAATGCTTAAAAATGTTTTAAAGTAATGTAAATCAACAAATGTTTTTGAAGAAGAAGAAGAAAAAAAAAATACTACTTACTATTAACAACAGGACAGTTTTCATCCTTAGGATCCTGGAGTCTCGACAGGGCCAAGACAGCTTGAATTCTCACATTTGAAAATTTATCTTTAAGCCTAATCAGCATAGCTTCGTTAATTTTATCAAATAAATCATCATCAATCTGGGCATTCTCTGGCATATTTCCCAAAATCTTATTAACAAGCTGGCATGCTCGAAATCTAACAGCGTGACTGTTCGCATTGTGAGACTGAGGGAAAGAAAAAATAACTATTTGTATAATTACACCGTTCTCATTTCCAACATAAGGCGATTAATATGCACATGCAAGTAGTTAGCATTCTATACAGTACATGAAATATGCACTTCTGTATTTCAAAAGCTTTTCTTACTTAAGATCGGTTTTTATAAGATTAAAAGGGCACAGAACTAGAAAATAATTATGGCCCATCACTTATATCAGTGGCACTTACATAATTAGCAATGCCTTCACAAAGGAAGAAACATTCTTAGCACTCAATGCAGACTACGCTACATTAGCTAACTTATCCCTCTGGCTCCAGAATATATTAGGAAAAATAAAAGAAATATATCTATTAGCAATGATGACTAGTGATCTTGGCTTGATCAATGCTTTTTCCATGTCAAAACACTAGCTTGAGAAAATTTAATTCTACTTGTGTTTTCATGCTATTGGAACTGTTGATCTTCTTTCTATATAACATTTGCAATAAGCAGGAAAGAATAATATATATATACCAATAGCAATACTTGTATGAAAGATCTTTCAGTATTTTTATTTATCAAAGACACAGTATAAATTAATTTCCACAACACTTCCACAATTTCACACTTATAAACACACCTATAATAAAGCCTATAATGATACATCTGACAGCCAAAGAACAAAACAGTTCACAGTTTCTCATGTGCCTAACTTTTGAAATCCTGTTGTTGGATTGTTTTGGGGTTTTTCTGGGGGGGTGTTTCATGTCTGGGGGGAGGGGGTATGTTAGTTGTAGTAGTAAGGGTAGTAAAGCACTACCTTTGCCTTGCTTTCACTTTTTAAGTTCTAGTTTGCAGGTATAATCTTGAGCGACAGAAAGTTTTTCCCGCTGCATGAAGTTTCTATTTATGTTAAAGATTTAATAATAAGTGTTACAGTACCTCAAGCAGAAAGTTAAACACATAATTCAGAAGCAAATTATCATCTTCTCCCTCCTCACTACCATCTTCTTTTTCCATTTGATAAAATGAAGTAACAAATTTAGCCACAAAATTGATGACTTGTTCCACTGCTGGTTCCCGTCTGTAGATTATCATAGCATACTTAAGGAAATTAATGAATTTTTCATGAAAGTCTTCCTTATCTTCCAACTGAAAAAAACAAAAAACCCCACCACAACAAGAGGTAACTACCCGGTTCATCTTTCAAAAGCAGTACCACAGACAAATAAAATAGATGTGTTTATAACAGACAGCTTCCATTAAAAATTTTAAAGCGCTAGAGCAGCGGCTAGGGCACACCCGGGGGGGGCTGTGCGCTCTTCACTGAATACTTTAACTCCACAGCAGGCATGTGTCTTGACCACGGGTCTCTATTCTGGAGTTTACATTTACTTGCTAGCAAGTTTCAGAACGGCAAGGGACATCCTCATCCATTATTATCCCGCGTCACACTTACTTCCCAGGAATCCAAACACCTTTCAGCAACACCATTGATACCTGCCGTGGGCTGTTCTTACACCCCTGTTCGCAGGAGACACCCGTGTACAATCGTTTGACGTGGGGCTTGCCGGGGTTTTATTCAAGCCGCAGGGCCCGACAGCGAGGCACGCTGGTCTCAGTGCTGTTTCAGGGGAAACAAGGCCGCCGAGGCCCCCCGCCCTCCCAAGGGGAAGCGGAGCGGTTGTGAGCGCCCTC